TGGATTGGCCTGGAGGCTAAAGCCATTCAAGCCGCCAAGCTTTCTTCTCGGCTCGAAGCTCCCTCCATTTCTCCAATCCAGCCGAGCGGGCCGAATCTTGAAGAAGGCCAGATAGTAACTACTATCGATGAGGGCGACGAAGATGCTGACTCTTAGCCTCGTCTCTTTAGGCCTGTCACCTTTTTATTCTCTGTAATTTTCTTTTCTGTCGTTTTTTTTACTGTTTGTTCTTGTCTCGTCCTAGCTCTCAGATTGTAAAGGTCGAGACGATTCTTGTAATGCATCTATCTTGAATATTATCTTTCGTTTTCTTTTGCTTGAATTGTCATGTACTCGTAATTTTTATAATTTAAATTGGTTTTAATCATGAATTCATCGAGACTTCACTTGTTATAACTTCGTAGTCGTAAATTTATCGACACTTCATTTGTTGACACTTTGTATTTAAAATGACTTTATAGCCGTAGGCTCCACAACCTTGACGAGATTCAACTCGGGACATACAACCTTGCAGTTGTTCGAGTCGACTTTGTAATCGTAGGCTTTGTAGCCTTGCCGAGATTTTTCTCGAGGCATACAACTTTGTAGTTGTTCGAATCGACTTTGTAGTCGTAGGCTTTGTAGCCTTGCCGAGCTTTTGCTCGAGGCATACAACTTTGTAGTTGTTAGAATCGACTTTGTAGTCGTAGGCTTCGTAGCCTTGCCAAGATTTCGCTCGAGGCATACAACTTTGTAGTTGTTCGAATCGACTTTGTAGTCTTTGGAGTTAATCGGCTTTATAGCCGCTCCGAAAGATTCGATTTTTCAAGTAGTTATAATAAAATTGACATGGAAATGTAAAAGACACAACTTAAACATAAACTTGGGAGTCGTTGCATTATTGAATTTGACTAAGCATTGTTCAGTACAAAAGAGTTCAAAATGCTATTTTTAGGCATAAAAGCGTTTGAGATGGATCACGTGCCAAGATCGTGGCAGCCGTCGTCCTTCGCCATCCTCGAGTTCATATGCCCCTCTTTCGAGTACTTTGGTGATGGTGTAAGGTCCTTCCCTGTTAGCTTCAAGCTTCCCAACATGTTTAAGAGCATCTGCTCGTTTGAGGACGAGATCTCCCACCTGAAATCGTCTGGTGCAGACTTTCCTGTCGAAGGCTGCACACATCTTCTGCTTGTATTCCATGGATCGTACCCAGGCTTCCTCACGCCCTTCTTCTATCATATCGAGGGCCTCTTTGATCATTTTCTCGTTCTTCTTTTCCTCATAAAATGTCGACCTGTGAGAATCTAAGCCTACTTCGATAGGCAGGAGTGCGTCCATTCCGTAAACCATGTGAAATGGTGACTGGCCTATTGAGTTTCTCGGGGTCGTCCTATAGGCCCATAGAACCGTTGTCAGCTCATCGACCCAAGCACCTGATGCTCTCTCCAATCTCTTCTTCAACCCTTGGAGAATAGTTCGATTAGTTACTTTGACTTGCCCATTAGCCTGGGGGTGCGCGACCGAGGCAAACCTTTGCTTTATTCCCATGTCAAGGCACCATGCCTGAATTCGTTTCCCTTGGAACTGAGTTCCATTGTAACACCCCACTAGCTTACTAAAATCAGAGTGCGATTTTCGCAAATTCTTTTCTAAAGTTTACGTGTTATTTTGCGAAACATATATCGGGATGCTACATAAAATATTTCTTTTCTAAAAATCCGTTAACTATAAACCCATTTATGAAAAACGGATTATCATTATAAAACAAGCATGTGATACTGTATAAAACTAGACCCGAAAGCTCGGATCCTTGTCTGAAAATTTACACGCTAGTTTGAAAGTCTGAAAACGTCAGCGGAAGTAAAACGTGGCAAATATATACATATCAACGGTCTGCAAAAATATATACATATTTACATGTACTGGACCGCCGACCACTAGCTCCACTCACTCCTCCGGACCGACCCTGTCTCCTGAAAAAGAATCATAATAGTGGGAGCGTGAGTACTATAAACACTGTTCTCCGCAGAAACTCATACTAAAGTAAACATTAATAATAATTGCATCATCATGATCAAACGCATGTATATCTGCCTCTATCAATAACTGCTCATCAACAGTATAAACTGGACGTAAACTGTGTCTGCCGACTGTAATAA